CATTGTATATTGCATGTGCTGATTATCATTCTTTGACTGCTTTGGGTTTCTGCTGCTTTTAAACTAGCATTTAAATGGACCATTTGATTAATCATTTGTATACTGGCTATAATCCTCCCAAATTTCCTTTCTGAGTTGTACATACTGTAAAAGACAATTATGTTGCCACAGATTAAATAAGTGAATTAAAACAGAATAGCAGCTTAATTTGACCTGTGATTTTGCTCTCTTTCCCTTTAGTGAAGTGTGTGCCACTCCAGCAAATAAATGAAGTCATCCATGACAGCTTGTGATGAATTGCCGTATTTATACTGTATATTTTAATAGCCTCACACTAATTTAAATTGAGCACAGAGTAAATTATAATTCAGTCACTTGACTGCTTATATTTAACTTGACAACTCATCCTTATTTGTCCTGGAGGTGTAGTGGAGAGCAGTGGAAATGCACTAAGGTATTTCAGTTTCTCACTTAACCCTTTCTCCATGGAATGCTTCATATTCAAATTCTCTCCAGTTTGAAACATTTAGCACTTCCTAAGGAAAAAAAAAAAAAATGAAGACTCAGGAAGTCCGTACTTTTCTTGGACTTCAAAAAGAAAATTAGTCTTTGCCATGCTTTCGCCATTGCCTTCAAATAAGGAATTGGATTTGTTTATTTTTAGCAGTTTTAAAGCTCACTCACAAGAATACCCAGGGGAAGGAGAATTAACCTTCCACCCAGAGTGCCAAGTCTCCCAGAAAATAGAGAGCATTTGAGTAGAGTTATTCTAAGGAGGGTTTTACTTTTCCTCTGAAGTTCTCAGAAATTACTTTATTCGTTTTTTCCATCATTTTCGAATCTCCGCTATTCTAGACTAAAGTAAATACCAACAATGATCAAAACGAATTAGAGTACAGCGGATTAGCTCCACAAATACAATATTCCTTACTACATTTTAGGTCAGTGTGGCATTTTTATTTATTTGGTGGTGTATGTTTTTCATTTTAAATTCAGTTGTGGAAATCAAGCAATCTATTTCTTCTGTCTAGAAATAGCTTCTTATAAAGAGGATTATAGTTGTAAAGACTTTAGTTAAATCCCACATCACTTACTAGGCACTACTGTGAGTTAGACCCTGTGTGGAGTGCTGAGCGGGGGATAGAAAAATGTACAAGACTCAGCCCTTGCCCTTGAGAGGCTCATAGCCACTCTAATCTTGAGACTTCGTTTTTAGGAGATGAGGGATGCATGCAGAACGTACATATTGAAGGCCAGAGCTAGACATTAATTTTGATGGAGGGCTTTGAGGTGAGCTTCATGGAGGCAGTGGTGGCATTCAAGCTGGGTCTAAAAGATAGAACAGGATTTTTTTAGTCAGTGCCTGGAGTGAAGAGAGGAAGCACACCCCAAGTAGAGAGAACAGCAGGAGCAAAGGCTGGAAGTAGGGAAAGCACAGGATATATGTGTACACCAGGAAATGTCATCTGATTTCACATGAAGGGTGGGTTTGTGGTGGGAGTAGTGGGAAGAGGAGTTAGAATAAGTTGTCTGTATTATGGAAGAATTCCTTGAATGTCCTGCTAGAGTTTTAACTTTATTGTAGGCGATGGGAACACAATTAAGGTTCTTGATTAAGGGAATGATATATTCACAGCCAATAGTTTGGGGTTAATTCCATGATGTTGGCTAGCAATGTGGAATCATGTCATTTCTAGGTTGGTGGTGGCCTGGAGATGCAATATATCTTAATAGTCATATATCTTAGCACTGAATAAATGGCATTTTTGAAACCTTAAATAAATGGTTCTCAAGCTTACTTTGGATTAGGAATTACCTGGGGAGCTTTACAAAATAACAAAGATGTGGGCCCAACCCCAGGGGTTCTCATTCTGTTGTTTTGGGGTAAAGCCTGCACCTTGGAATTTTTTTTTTAAGTGCCCTAGGTATTATGATTTGAGGCCAGGGTTGAGAACCATTGATTTAAGGTCAATAATAGCTTCACTCCTTTTAGCAGAGATTTTTAGAGTGAGAGATTCCTGGTACTTGTCATCATAGTAGGAATAGCCGTAATATTTTATGCTGTAGGATTGAACTGACGCTAGATGAATTAATTTTGTTGGTAAGTTTTACACAAGAACAAAAATGTAAGTGAATATTGTTGGCAAATGACTATTGATCAGGAGAAGTGTTTAAATGTTTCTTGGCAGTTTTGTATTACACTTACAGTCTAGTTTCCTGAGAGCTTTTATAAATAACCCCAAAGCAAACTTTTTTTATTTTTATTTTTTGAGGCAGAGGCTCGCTGTGTCGCCCAGGCTGGTGTGCAGTGGCATGATCTAGGCTCACTGCAAGCTCTGCCTCCCGGGTTCAAGCCATTCTTCTGCCTCAGCCTCCCAAGTAGCTGGGACTACAGGCGCCCGCCACCATGCCCTGACTAATTTTTTTGTATTTTTAGTAGAGACAGGGTACACCTTGTTAGCCAGGATGGTCTCGATCTCCTGACCTCATGATCCTCCCGCCTCAGCCTTCCAAAGTGCTGGGATTAAAGGGGTGAGCCACCACGCCCAGCCGCAAACTCTGGATAGAAACCACCTTTGCCTTTTTTCCCCCCACCTTCCCCTACCCCAAATCAACACCTGGCCAATGTCAGGACTATAAAATGTACTTTAGAATTGCCCTTTTCTTTCCTTGCTCTATCAGCAGTTTACAATGCATCATTTGTGGTTTTTTTCTTTGATTATATATATGTTCTTCAGTTGTAATACAAAATGTAATTCAAAGTCGAATGGTATATAACTACACTATCATAGTAATTCTGAATGTTAAGTTTTTGTCTAGAGATGTCTAGAGTCTGCCACAAATCATAAAAATTGTTTTCCACCTGTTTTATTCTCCTCACTGCCTTTTTAAAGTAAAAACAAGCTGGGTATGGTGGCTCACGCTTGTAATCCCAGCACTTTGGGAGGCTGAGGCAGGTGGATCACCCGAGGTCAGGAGTTCAAGACCAGCCTGGCCAACATGGTGAAACCCTGTCTGCACTAAAAATACAAAAATCAGCCAAGTGTGGTGACAAGTGCCTGTAATCCCAGCTACTCGGGAGGCTGAGGCAGGAGAATGGCTTGAACCCAGGAGGTGGAGGTTGCAGTGAGCCAAGATCGTGTCACTACACTCCAGCCTGGGCAACAGAGCAGGATTCCGTCTCTAAATAAATAAATAAAACAATTACTCTTGAATTATTTTCACTGACATGCTGAGTAGAATTTGAACAGTATGGTCTTCTTTCTTTGAAAAATATGTGTTTGAAATAAACTAGAATTTATTCTAGGTAAGTTTATAAATGTTTTACATTTATGGGTTATAAATCACTATGGGTAATATCGCTCAGTGATTGATATTTTAAATAAACCATAAAGTACTGAAAAGCCCATGAGACTGAGTCCAGAGGAGGGGGTCCTACCATTCCCAGGCTCTGTGGCTCCTGGGAAGGAATCCTGGTTTCCTACTCACTCAAAAGAAGGGAGTTAATGAAATAAGATTTCTTTAAGCTTTAACTTTCTATAACAGTATCAGCAAAGAACATTACCTGACTGGGGGGGGGAAAAAAAAGATGATATATTTTAAAAACTCCTTATTTCTCTCATAACTAAAAACCCCACTTAAAATGTCATTTTTGGCTGGGCATGGTGGCTTACGCTTGTAATCCCAGCATTTTGGGAGGCTGAGGTGAGCAGATCATTGAGGTAGGAATTCAAGACCAGCCTGGCCAACATGGTGAAACCCCGTCTCTACTAAAAATACAAAAATTAGCCGGGTGTGGTGGCAGGCGCCTGTAATCCCAGCTACTCGGGAGGCTGAGGCAGGAGAATCACTTGAGCCCAGGAGACAGGTTGCTTGAACCCAGGAGACAGGTTTCAGTGAGCAGAGACTGTGGCACCGCATTCCAGCCTGGGTAACAGAACAAGACTCTGTCTCAAGAAAAAAAAAGTCATTTTTTGGCCAGGTGTGGTGGCTCACGCCAGTGCTTTGGGAGGCTCAGGTGGGCAGATTACTTGAGCTCAGGAGTTCAAGACCAGCCTGAGCAACATAATGAAACCCCTATCTCTACCAAAAATGCAAAAAATTAGCTGGGCATGGTGGCACGCCTGTGGTTCCAGCTACTCGGTGGCTGAGGTTGGAAGGTTTGTTTAAGCCTGGGAGGCAGAGGTTGCAGTGAACCAAGATTGCCCCACTGCACTCCAGCCTGAGTGACAGCATGAGACTGTGTCTAAATAAATAAAATGTCATTTTTATTCATCATCCTCTCTGCTTATTGCCTAGTGTCTGATCACAAATCACAATATAGTTCTTTTTTTTAAAAGACAGGATTTCGCTCTGTCACCCAGGTGAGAGTGCAGTGGTACAATCATGGCTCACTTCAGCCTCAAATTCCTGGGCTCAAGTGATCCTCCCACCTCAGCCTCCCAAGTAGGTTGGGACCACCTGATCACACTATACCCAGGTAATTTTTTTTTTTTTTTTTCTGTAGAGATGGGATCTTGCTATGGTGCTTAGGCTGGCCATATACCCCTGGCCTTCAGGTACCTTGCCACCTCAACCTCCCTCTCAAAGTGCTGGGATTACAGGCGTGTGCCACTGCACGTGGCCAAGACAATTCTTTTATATTGGTTTGAGGGTCATTCCTATGTTCCTCTTTTGAAAATAGCCAGCGTGGCCAAAATAGAGTGCATAAATTAAGAGTGTTATAACTTAACTGACTTTTAAAGCCATTACTGTTGACCTTTAAGACCTGGCTTTTTTCTTTGGTCCCATCAATCACTTCTGTACCACCTCCCCCAGTTCAGAAGGACAAAAGGTTAGACAGATGCAGATACAGTTTGTATTACTGGGAATTATAGTGGTAAGAAGAAGGAAGTGGGGAAGAATAAAGGAACTACCATTTTTTTAGTTCTTATATTTCATAGTGATTATAGCTAATATAATTAGAAGGTGAATAAATATTAATACTTTTCTATATTTAGGTCATACTACTAGATATTACACTGGAACTTCAGAAGCAAATTATGTCTGAATTGGAAATTCTTTATAAGGTAATTTTTTTCACAATTTTTATTTGTAAAGCATGCCTATGTTATTGACTTGCAGGTTTATAACTACTTTTGTCTTATTTTTGTTACAGTGTGATTCATCATATATCATTGGATTTTATGGAGCATTTTTTGTAGAAAATAGGATTTCAATATGTACAGAATTCATGGATGGTGAGTTTTCCCTTTTATAATACTTTTTAAATGATTTTTAGAGTATATAGTGCTTTACAACCTGGTTTTGATATAGATATCAAGTAGAATTAAAAATAATTAAAATATGCTAATAATTACCTCATTTATACTCTAAGATTATTTCAGTGTTAAGTGTTCCTGGGGTTAAATATTTTTAGCTGAACTATAATTTCAAGAATTGAACTTCACTTTTATTGAAAATTTAAATAGAACAGATTAAATGCTAGTCTAATTGGTGGTTTGATATTTGATTCTTTTGCACAATCTGTCTTTACTTGCAAAACAGATGTTCTGTTCTTTTAATGTTTCAATAGCCAAAACAGATTTTCTTTTAAAGAAATCTATTAACCCAATGTCCTGTGTCTTTCAGAAAGAAATCGGTTCTTAATTGCAAGATAAGAAATTGTTTTTCAACACAGCTGTTTAGCCAAGATGTGTTTAATTTTCTTTGGACTTTAGCCCTTTCCTTCCCTCTCTATTTTTTTATTCATTTCTATTTTGATAGTTCTTTCTTGACCTGAATATTATGGCAAAATACAGATTTCTAGGGACATATCAGTGAAATGATGTAATCATTATTATTGTTTACCAATTTTAAATCTAAGCAGTCTTTAAATTTTACATATTCAGTTTTCCATAATCTAGTCCATTAAAACACAACTTTAGAAAATATAGTTAGTTCCTTGTGGAGATTCTCAGTACATTACTAAAGCAATTAGTTTGTGCCCTGCAAAACTTTAATGAGCCAACGTTGATACCTTGATACTATAATAAGGTGTATAACGTGTTCTAAATTACTTATAGTAGAATGTCAAGAATTAAACATCTTACAGCCATATAGGTAGTATGATAACTGTGGAGACTGACTAGAAAAAGTGGATTCATTGAGCCAATACATTTTACTGTGTTGTAACTTTTATCATTCTTTCTTTGAAGTCTTCAGTTTTTCAGTTCTACTCAAACATTTTTGTTGATACCAGGCATGGTGATTCACACATGTAATCCCAGCACTTTGGGAGACTAAGGTGAGAAGATTGCTTGAGCCCAGGAGTTTGAGACCAGCCTGGGCAATATAGTGAGATCTCATCTTTACAAAAATAATTTTAAAAATATGGCTGGGTGTGGTGGCTCACGCCTAATCCCAGCACTTTTGGAGGCCGAGGCGGGTGGATCACTTGAGGTCAGGAGTTCAAGACCAGCCTGACCAACATGGCGAAAACCCGTCTCTACTGAAAATACAAAAATTAGCCAGGCGTGATGGTGCATGCCTGAAATCCCAGCTACTTGGGAGGCTGAGACTGTGAATTGCTTGAACCTGGGAGGTGGAGGTTGCAGTGAACCGAGATCGCGCCACTGCACTCCGGCCTGGGTGACAAAGTGAGGCACTGTCTCAAAAAAACAAAAAAAAAAAAGGAAAAAAAAAAAAGAAAATTAGCCAAGCATGGTGGTACATGCCTGTAGTCCCAGGTTACTCTGGGGGCTGTGGTGGGAGGATTTCTGGAGCCCAGGAGATTAAGGCTGTAGTGAGCTGTGATTGTGCCACCACTGCACTCCACTCTAGGCAACAGAGTGAGACCCTGTATCAAAAAACAAATAAATTAAAATTTTTTATTGAACTATAACTCAGATACCATAAAATTCACCTTTTAAAAGTGTACAATTCCATGGTTTTTAATATACTCACAAGGTTGTGCAATCATCACTACTGTATAATTCCAAAACATTTTTTTACCACCCCCAGAAAGAGACTTCCTACCTATTAGTACTCACTCTCTACTTTCTCTTTCCTCTAGTCCTTGGCAACCACTGATTTATCTTCTGTCTCTATGGATTTACCTATTCTGGACATTCCATAGAAATGGAATCTGATAATATATGGCCTTTGTGTCTGGCTTCCTTTATTTAGCATAATGTTTTCAGTGTTCATCCATACTATTGCATATATGAGAACTTCATTCCTTTTTATTGCTGAATAACATTTCATTGTATGGCTATACTCCATTTTGTTTATTCTTTCATTAGTTGATGGACATTTGGGATAGTTCTACTTTATGCATAATTATGAATAATGCTACTCTATATATTTGAATACAAGTTTTGTGTGGACATATAGTTTCTTTTTTTTTTTTTTTTTTTTTTCTTTTTGAGACAGAGTCTTGCTCTGTCACCCAGACTAGAGTGCAGTGGTGCAACCTCTGCCTCCTAGGTTCAAGCAGTTCTGCCTCAGCCTCCCGAGTAGCTGGGACTACAGGCGCGTGTCACCATGCCCGGCTAAGTTTTTGTATTTTTGGTAGAGGTGGGGTTTCACTGTGTTAGCCAGGATGGTCTCGATCTCCTGACCTCGTGATCTGCCTGCCTTTGCTTCCCAAGGTGCTGGGATTACAGGTGTAAGCCACCGTGCCCAGCCAATGTTTTCAGTTCTTTTAGGTATATACCTAGGAGTGGAGTTGCTAGGTCATATGGTAGCTTTATGTTTAACTTTTTAATGAACTACCAAACTGTTCCAATTGATTTTACACCACTTTACATTCATACCAGCACTGTATAAGGGTTCCGTTTTCTTCATATTTTTGCCAATACTTGTCATTTTGTGTCTTTTTAAAATTGTGGCCTCGTAGTGTGACATGGTATCCCATTTTAGTTTTGATTTAGACTTCTCTAATGATTAATGATGTTGAGCATCTTTTCATGTGCTTATTGGCCATTCATATATCTTCTTTTAAGAAATATATCCTTTGTCTATTTTTTAAATGAGTTATTGGGCTTTTATTGTTGAGTTGTAAGAATTCTTTATGTATTCTAATACTTGGCTCTTATCAGATGTAGGATTTCCAAATATTTTCATTCATTGTTTATCTTTTCAATTTCTCTTTTCTGTCTTTTTTTTTTTTTTTTTTTTTTTTTTGAGCTGTGGTATCATATTGCCCAGGCTAGTTTTGAACTCCTGGGCTCACGTAATCCTCCCACCTCAGCCTCAAGTTTTATTGTTTTAGCTCTTATATAAGCCTTTGATTTATTTTTGAGTTAATTTTTATATATGGTATGAGATAGGGGTCCAAATTTATTCGTTTGCATGTAGATATCCATTTGTTCCAGTACCATTTGTTAAAGACTATTTTTCCCATTGAATTTTCTTGTTATACTTGTTGAAAATTGACCATAAAATATATTTCTATACTTTTAGATCAATGCATATACATCTTGCATTGATCTAGTTGTCTATCTTTGTACCAGTACCACACCGTATTTGATTACTCATACTTGATAACTCTAGATTATTATAGTTTTTAAATTCCGAATTGAGAAGTGTAAGTGCTCCAACTTTGTTCTTTGTTTTGGCCATTTTGAATACCTAGCATTTTTATTTGAATTTTAGAACCAGCTTGGCAAATTCTCCAAAAAATCCAGCTGAGATTTTGATAAGAATTGAATTGAATTTTTAGATCAACTTGGGGAATATTGCTGTCTTTAACATTATTTAATCTTCAACTCCAAGAACACAGATGTCTTTCAACTTACTTAGGTCTTCTTTATTTGTTTTTCAATGATTTTAAAATAATTTTTAGGGTATGAGTGGTAACTATTTGTTAAATTTACTTCTGAGTATTTTTAATGCTGTTTTTCTTAATTTCATTTTTGGATTGTTCATTGCCAGTGTACAGAACTGTAATTGATTTTTATATATTGATCTTGTATTCTGCAACCTTGCTGAACTTGTTTACTAACGTTAATAGCTTTTTGTGGATTCCTTAGGGTTCTCTATATACAAGATAATACCACCTGCAAACAGGTAGTTTTAGTGCATTCTTTTCAATTCTGGATGTCTTTTAGTTCCTTTTCTTGCTTAATTACCCTGGCTAGAACCTTCAGTACAATGTTGAATAGACTGATGAGAACAGACATCCTTCTTTGTTCCTGACCTTAGAGGGAGAGCTTTTAGTCTTTCACCATTAAATATGATGTTAGCCATGGGTTTAGAGTAGTTGTCCTTTGTCAGGCTGAAGAAATTCCCTTCTATTTTTAGTTTGTTGAGTATTTTTTTTTAATCATGAAAGGGTATTAAATTTTGTCAAATGCCTGTTTTATGTCTATTGAAATAATTGTGCATATTTGGTCCTTTATTCTGTTAATATATGGTATACTGTATTTATTTTTGCAAAATGAACCAGTCTTGCAGTGTTGGAATTATTCCACTTAGTCATGATGTGTAATTCTTTTTATATGTTCCTGGGTTCAGTTTGCTAGTATTTTCTTGATGATTTTTGTATTCATATTTATGAGGGACATTGGACTAGTTTTCTTTTTTTGTGATGTCAGTGTCTAATTTTGGTGTCAGGATAGTTCTGGCCTTATAGAATGAGTTCAGAAGTGTTGCCACCTCTTCTGTTTTTTTAAAGAGTTTATGAAGGATTCATGTTAATTCTTTTTAAAAAAAAATTTATGGGCTGGGCAGGGTGGCTCATGCCTGTAATCTCAGCATTTTGGGAGGCCAGGGCAGGTGGATCACTTGAGGTCAGGAGTTTGAGACCAGCCTGGCCAACATGGTGAAAGCCCATCTCTACTAAAAGTACCAAAAAAAATTAGCTGGGCCTGGTGGCATATGCCTGTAATCCCAGCTACTTGGGAGACTGAGGCAGGAGAATCGCTTGAACCCAGGAGGTGGAGGTTGCAGTGAGCCAAGATCATGCCACTGCACTCCAGCCTGGGTGACAGAGACTCTGTCTATAAATAAATAAATAAATAAATAAATAAATATTTTTATGGGGACATATTATTTTATGTATTTATGGAATACATATACAATAATATTTTGATACAAGCATACAGTGTGTAGCAGTCAACCCAGAGTAATGGAGATATGCATGACCACAAACATTTATCATTTCTTTGTGTTAGGAGCATTGCAATTCCACTTGGGTAGTTATTTTGAAATATACAATAAATTATTAATTGTGGTCACCCTGTTGTGGTACCAAACA